CGTACATAATTATTTTTGATGTAACTTTGGGCTCATCTATGAAAATAGAAATATTTACAATTTGTGAAAATGTTCAAGGGGTTAGAATGAAATTATGCGTGAAAAGAAAACTTCTAAAGCTTAGCATTTAATAGTATTACTCAATATTACTTAATATATTTGGAAATCTAAGAAATGGGTAAAATGCATAATATGCAACACTAAAAACGACAAACTAAAACTATTTTAATGTTTCGACATTACAAACATCAGAAATTTCATTTTCTATAACAGTCTGGCAGGGTCTGGTGATTATGATATTCGACTTGGGTTGCGGGATCTAAACCTGTCGCCAAACATGCTTTCAACCGTGGAGGCGTTATAAAGTGAAGGTCAATCCCACTCTTTGTTGGTAATAGAGTAGCTCAAGAGTTGACGGTGGGTGGTATTGACCAGCTGTCTTCCTTCTACTCTCTAGTATATAACTTGAAAATTAGGGATGGATAGAACAGATAGCTCTTGAATACCTTTATGCGGAATTAAAGAAAAAAAAAACAAACATTTCACATAAAAACTACATCAATTTCATTAAAAAAAGTGAATCATACTCAGCTAATATTATGATCAATACATTTGCAAGAATTAATTTTAAATGATTAGTTACATATTTAAATCACAATAAATTCTAGTTAAACTTTATACTATATATTTATCATTTATAATTTATTTTAGGACTTAATATATTGTTATATTCATATATTTTTTTAAACTAACATTCTATTTATAATACATTTTATAACAGGATCCTGGGTTAGAGACTATAAGTGCCAAGTCAGGTCAAAGGCACTCCCTTCGTACTTGTGACTCAGTGTGTTTATGTTACAACTTAACAATTTATTTTAATGGGTTGGCACTGAGGCTTAAAGAATCATAGAAAATGTCTACAAGAAGTGCATTAACAAAAGATCTTCATGGTAAGTATGAACAATGCCTTATGAAAGCTAAGTTTAAGATTAGTAGGCCTAACAGACAGCTTTCTGAACAGTGTTATTTGATTTTTTTTTACAATGTATACATATATATATATATATATATATATGTACATACACACACACACACACACACATATAATACTATATAGTATACTGTGTACCGTCTGTAGATCGTACATTGTAGTTTCTACTCAACACAACACAGTCAGGCTAAAATACCTAGGCCGCTATAGTATAGCCTAGTAGTAATATTATTTCTACTGCTAGTAGTACTACAGCTTACAATAGTATTAGTAATAAAAAGTACTCCTAGTCCTAATAATAACAGTTGACTTATTGAATTTGAAAGTAGAAGCTATTCAAATTCAAGGCTTATTCCGAGTCTGACAGCGACATTTAAATGTTTGAGTCTTGATTGACTCTAGTAACCATTAAACCAAATATAACTTGAGAAAGGCTTAACTCAGATGTAAGATTTAAAAAAAAATTATATTATTAGTTAAATCTTTATTCTGAAATTTATCATATTAAATGGTGAATGTTCAAAGAAGTTTAGCTGTATGTTAACTTGTTATGATAACCACTAAATAAGTATTATTATTGCTATACTCTGTATTATTACATTACTAACAACCATCTGTTCCATGTTAAACTTAATCTTAAAGCTTGTTCTGTGTTACTATTACAAGTGTTAGGCCTAAGTTCTCAGTACTTAATCCTAACTCGTGGACTAAAATCTTGGTTGAAATTTTCTATTCATGAATTTTGCTAACTCCATGAAAAACTGGTCATACTTATAAGTCACACACACACACATATATATATATATAGTAATATTAAATTTGTTAATATTTTATTACATTCTTAAAAGTCAAATGGAGAACATTTACTTCACAGTTGCTTATTTTATTAAGAATATCAGTTAAAAATATTCATTAGCTAAATTTATTCCATGTTTCACTATTTCATTTAGACATCTCATATGTAATAAATTTAACATTATTTTTATATGTGCAATATGGCAGTAATTGAGAGAACGTACCATACATAAGAAAATTGGCAACTGGTGAAATTAAATGATTTCTTAGGCTGTGAGGTAGGTGGGTATCTGCTTAACTTAAAAAGATAATATTCCTTGTTCAATAAGGAAACTATTAGAGAGTGATGGGTGATAACTAGTAAAGTTATGGACCATCATCTTCTCTCTCTCTATGACTTGGTGTATGAATTGCTTTCAGGTGAAAAATCAATTTGGCAAATTGGTTCACATTAAAAATCTATTAAGTTTTATTTTCCAAAAAATAAGTTAGCTCTATAAACGTATAAAATGTTAAAATGGTGTTTGGAGGATACTGGTGACATGGGTTTTGTTAAAAACAGAGATGATTGTGTACTTTCCCTTGGTGGTAAAAAGAAAGGTTAATAAGAGATTAAAATAGATAAAGAAACTAGACCAGAATGTTTTTCCCAGGATTTTAAAGGAGTTCAAAGATCAGATACCAGAGCTTCTCTCTTTCATTTTTGTAGGTTTGTAGACAGCAGATGACTAAGAACTGGAGAAATGCTAATGTTACTTTTATTTTTAAAGGAGATGGTCAATGTTGCCCTAGAAATTATAGATTAGTCAATCTTTCTTCTTTAATGGGAAAAATCTTAGAGTGTGATAGAAAAGCCTTTCAAAATCATTTAGTAAAATGTGATATCATAAGAGAGAACCAACATAAATTCACTAAATGGAAACCTTGGATTACTGTTAACTTTTTAAGGATGTTATCTTGATGATGGGAAAATTATGAACTTGGTGTACTTACATTTTCAAAAACTTTTAGGAAGGTGCCACACAAAAGATTAGCTAAAAAAATCACAATGGTGGGGGTTGAGATAAGGCTAGTTAATTTGTGTGTATGCTTGGATTGAAAAGAACAAATGGATGTCTTCACCATTTCTGGATCATGTGCATCAGTGATATCCTTTGACTTGCTTTCTTGCAGGGGAAATAATTAACCAAATTTTACAGAACTTAAGAGTATCTTATCAAATACTATCAAGTTTTAACTTGAAAAAAATTCATATTTGATTTATTTGTACTGTCACTTTTATATATTTTTTTATATTTTCACAAAATTTTGTTCAAACGCGATTTTGAAAAATATCAAAAATCTTCCAGTGATTCAGTGGTAAGTCTGATGACTTATCTTGCTAAAAATCAAGTGTACAATACCCATGGTGAGCACAGATAGCCCATTGTTTAGTCTTGTGTTTAATACTAAACACAATCTTTTTATATTAGAATTTTAGTTTCTTTTAAAATTTGAAATCAAAAACGTTTGTTTTATATATGTCTAATCAGTTTCAGTTCAGTTGACATTCAACAGCTTAACTGTGTTTATATACAAAGAATGCTGCATACAGTTTTGGTCTTCTTGTCTAAAAAAAGGATATTGAGTTACTGGAAATTTGACAAAGCTTTTAAGGAACTTTAACTACAAACACCATATCATCAGACAAACCATTTCACAACTCTAATTTACAGAAAAAGATTGTTTAGATATTAGTCTATGTACATTAACTTACAAAGCTTAAACCTATTACTCCTAATAGTATTTAAGCTCATATTTTCTCCTTTTTTTCGCCAAGTACTTTAAAAAAAGGAAGAGAGAGAGAGAGAATGTTCAAACACCAAACAGTTTTATCACCTAAAATTTATTTGCACTCCAGAAAAACTTAAGTCCAAAATTTCAAGCTTCTGTACATAGCTCAAGTTTTTTAACCCAGTGTGCAAGAGGTGCATTGGATTGAGGCTATATTGGAGAAGTAATGTTGACTATAATTCAGAAAAATAATGGGAAAAATCCTAGAGTGTGATAAAAAAAAAAATCATTTAGTGAAATGTGATCTAAGAGAGAACCAACATGGTGTACTTATATTTTCAAAAAACTTTTGATAAGGTGCCACACAAAATTAGCTAAAAAAATCACATTGGTGGGGGTTGAATAAGGCTAATTAATTTGTGTGTATGCTAGTTGGAACTTGGATCAAAAAGAGCAAAATGATGTCATTAACCATTTCTGGATCTTCATGAAATGTGGCAAGCTTTCAGTAAAACAGTACACAAAAAAAAACTAGATATTAAAATATTATTTGTTCTCAAGATATGTCTGTGAATTGATGACATCAGTCTGACTCGGACTCTGAGAAGTCTGAGTGCAAGATGATGTTCATGGGAAGAATGATATATTTTTATCTATTTTACAATTTACACATTGCATTTGCATAATCTTTAAAGCCTCTAAAATGCACATCTACAGTTTTTTCGGTTTGTCTGTCTATTGTATCTACTATTTACTTTACTGTGAAAAATTGCTAACTTAGCAATGTAGGATCAAACAAATAGTTGATAACTCTGGTATCAAATACATAATACCACATTGAATGGTACTTTGTAAAATATCATCTAATGTGCACTTGGATTCCCACCTGTGCAGTTCTAGGTAATTTCACTCCCCATGTCAAAAAAATTATAAACATTAAAAGTGACATATATTTAAAAAAATGAACATTAATTAATGAGCATTTATTAAGGATTGTTATAAGTGATGCAGGTTATGAGATATTGCTCATAAAAAGTCAATCTTGTTACCTGGATTATATCTAGCAAGAAGAATTTGCAGCCAGTTATTCATATCTTTATACTTCTTTTTATAGTAATAGTAATAAATTTAATATAAATACCTCATAACCTGCATCACTTTTAATAATCTTTAATAAATTCCATTTTTAATGTTCATTTTTTAAATATATGTCACTTTTAATGTTTATAATTTTTTTGACATTGAGAGTCAAATTACAGGTCACCCACCTGTACACATTGGATTAAACTTTGCACTTTTTCCAACATTTTATCTGCTAGTACAAAGTACTCCAAATGAAGCTGCACCAAAGTTTTATACAAAATCACAATAACCTTATTGTTCTTAAATTTTAACTTCTGTAAATTGAACACAGAACTCTGTTTGCTGTTTTTACTGTATCCAAATACTTAGTCAAAAGCTTTAGTGTTATATCAACAAGCATATATAACATACTTCTTTCTTAACACCACTGCTCCAATCACACATTAACAAAGTTCTATCTAAGTTGCCAAATGTAAAGTGCATAATTTGACACTTGAATAATGAGACTTGTTTTGCACTTTGTTGCTCAGTCATTAAAACTGTTAAGGTGCTTTTAGATAAAAGAAATTCTCAGTTGAGTCGGCCTTTCCAAGCATTTAGTAGTATTAGCTGTGTGTAAAAATTTCATTGTGTGAGTATTAAGTTTTAGAAACGTGGTTGATATTGAGGTTTAGTCAGCGTAGGAAATTTAGGTTCTTTCTAAATATGTTTAACAACCCTTTCCAGACGGGTCACAGGTTAAAGGCCATGTCATCCCATTTATTGACTCACATTCAAAATTTTATTGAAGTACTATTTCATGAATTTATGTCAATAAGTTTAGTATCAAACTGTAGATTATAATTCA